CTTAGTGGAGTACACTCCATCTTGGGGAGGGCAGTAGTTGTGCATGCTGATCCTGATGATCTGGGAAGAGGTATGGTTCTTGGTCCAATATATTTTACTTTTTTTCGAGTAATGTTTGATGGAAGTTGATGTCAATTCAAGATGTTGCATGGAGTCCATCACAATTTTCCTTTCGGCTTGCTGTGTAAGCAGCTATGCAGACCTTATACACCCTTTATAATGGTTTCAAGATAATGTACAGTACAACACTGTGATAATTCTTGATGTTCTGTTATATGGGAATTCAGTTGAGGTTTTGTGCAGAATTGTATTATTAAACATTTTAATCAAGTAAACTATCTTCAAGTAAGGATTAAGTAGCTTGTTTGAGGCAAAGCTTGTTGTTACTTCTTCTGTAACGATTTATTTCACTGTACACAATATGTTGTTCGGTCACAGCAGCAACTTTTGTTGCTTTAAGTTCCATCAAACCTTGTGTGCNCCAAAAAAAACCTGGGCCTTTCCCCCTTGAGGATGTCTTTTACACTGTTGCACGCCGTATCATCTATGAGATCTCTTCATTTGGTTCCTAATATCATTTTGAAACCTGGTCTACTGTTCATTTCTCTTGAGGTTAAAAACGCCATTGTTCATGTTTTCTATGTGTTTACCATAAATATCAAAATATTTTGAAGTATTTCTCTCTCTGAGTCTAGATCTGGCTAATTATTGCAACTCTTCATCAGGTGGACATGAACTTAGTAAGTCAACTGGGAATGCCGGTGCAAGAGTTGGTTGTGGTAACTACATTTTCTCTCTATTCCTTGATATTTTGGTAATATCTGCGTACTGGTTGTTGTTAAATTTGTCTCCTGTGTTGAGCTAGCGACATATAAATGCAGCATGTTATTAGCTCAAGTTAAATCTTCAAGCCTACTAAAATGTCTTAAGCGTGATACTGATTTTCAAGCTAATTAATTAGTAATTTTACGGCTGGATATGAACTTGAACCTAAATTGCAGTATTCTCCAACAAAGAGCCTTAGCTTTCAGTCACGTGCCAACATTTTAGGTCCAGATAATGACTGCTGCTTAAACTTGAAGTTCCAAGTTGCTACATTGATGGAGATATTTACCTCTTTTCCGAAATTGCAGATCTATGTTTATCCTTATTTAGGATTTTCCTTTTTTGTATATCTGAGGCACTAATATCTGTTGCACCTGTCTTCTGCAGGCGTTATTGGGCTTCAGTCATCTGTTTAGTACTTGTGTTACTCACTTCATCTTGTTGCTCCTGTCAAAGTACTCGTTGTTGTAGCTATACTTAACTTTCAGACATTCCTTACCCTATACCCCAAAGAGCTAATGAATAAAATACTTCTAATGCGCTACCAGGTAAGTGATTTTACTTCTCTGGTCAATTTTTTGAGGTTTCCTCCTAATGTGAGACATTATTTTTCCTACTCATATCTCAGGCATGAGACACCTTTCCTGGTTGAATATCATTCGTAAAAGGAGGAATTGGCATCAGTTTATAATTAGGACAGTAAATATTGAAACGGCATGCCTAAGAATTAGGATAAATGTCTCAAAATCCAAGAGAGAATAAAATAAAATTGTTGACTAGAATGATATATAGGCTGGCCAACGACATCTAGTCGTGATATCTTCTTATCTCAAAACGGAGCTAACTGAACCTTAAAACCTTCTCTGCTTAACTTCTCCCTGTTTAAGTTGGCTTTAGATATTTGTGATCCTACCTTTGTACATTTGTCCTGACCATGTAGATCAAAGGAACGGAGCAATCCTTTTTCCTTTGTGGGGCAGTTTTGAAATACACTCAAAATGCAAGCACCAAGGAGCTATAGGTGGAACTTGTTTGTTAACCTCTGCCAGCTAACGCTACGTAACAGTTCCTCAGTTCGATGAAATTTAAGAAAAAAGGAAGACTCTTGAAACTTGTGATCTTAAACATGTCATAATATGTTTGGTCATAAGACATTTGAATCTTATGATCTTAAATATTCTATAACATTTTTGTGATTATAAAAACGCTTCCAATTAAGGGTAAAATAATAAAATGAAAAGCTTAGAATTAAATTATTTTTAAATATATAAATGTGTCATTCTTTATAAACGAACTAATAAGTATGTCACATAAATTGGAATAAACATAGTATTAACTCCAACGAACTAATAAGTGGGTTGCTCTAGTGGTAAGCACTCTCCACTTCCAACCAAGAGGTTGTGAGTTCGAGTCACCCCAAGAGCAAGGTGGGGAGTTCTTGGAGGGAGGGAGCCGAGGGTCTATCGGAAATAGCCTCTCTACCCCAGAGTAGGGGTAAGGCTCTCTAGTGAGATTATACTGGGTTGTTGTTATTGTTAACTTCAAATGACGTTTCTCACTACCAATAGCATCAGTTGGAAGAAAAGAGATTTATTGTTGCGGTGAAAGTTACCAGAAAATTTATGGAAAAGGGCCAAATATATCTTTGTACTATGAGAAAAGGTTTAAATATACCCCTTGTTATACTTTCAGTTCAAATATACCCCTGCTGTAATACTATTGGTTCGAATATACCCCCTTCCATTAAGTTTGTCCAAGTTGAACATCCAATCCCACATGGCATGCCACCTCAACACTCCTAACCCATTTTACCCTCCTTTCTAATTTTTTTTTCCACCACTAAAATTCCCTTCCCCTCCCCCACCATTGCCACTATTACCGCCACCATTCGAATTTATGACTTTAAATTAAGAGTTAAGAGATTCCAAAAATTCCATCACATTTTATGTTAGTTGCGTGTTAATATGATTCAAAATCATTGAAAATTTTGGCGGATTCAAGATTACCGTGCGATGAAACCTATTACTATTTAGTAATTACGTTGCTACTTAGTGAGTATACTAACGATCAATGAATTGAGTGAAAGTCATGAGAAACTAAGACTTACAACTTAACATTGAAAAAAAATTAGGTAATTTATTCTTTTTTTTCCAAATCTTAATAGGTGACCGCTATCTGATACAATGCTAGCTTGGCGGAGTTTTGGTGGAATAATCGATCCAAATTTTGCTCTCTTTATGCACATGAATCCTGAACCCTGAACTCCTTACTAGTGTGGCTTAAAGAGGAAAAGAAAAGAAAAAAGAAAAAGAGAAATAATTATGCAGTCTTGAGATTTTCTGGATCAGAAAACTTTGTAGTGATTATTCCACAAGTAAATGATGCATTGCCATTGACCTCTGCTGTTATATAGTAATGAATTTCTAAATAGGAACAATTTATCTCGACAATATTTTTGTTTTTGTGGAAGTAGTTTATTCATCAACTTTGGCGTATACAGAGGTTCGTTTAATGGTTTATCTTTCATAAATCAAAGGACACATGACAATAGTGGCGGTTATGATGACAATAGTGGTGGAGGGAAGAAAATTTTAATAGTAAAAAAACAAATAAAGGGAGGGGTAAAATGGGTTAGGGGCCATGTGGCATTCACCTCATCAAATGTCAGTGTCACGTAGGATTGGATGTCCATCTTGGACAAACTTAACGGAAGAGGGGTATACTTGAACCAATAGTATTATGACATGGGTATATTTGGACCGAAAGTATAACGAAAGATTTTAACTCGAATTGGACTGCAGGAACCTTGCTAGTACACCATAAGAACTGAAGTTACCTCTTCGGTTGTAGAACCGCATCCTGCGAGATTTAAGTTTCGCAGTTCTACACCCTGTGAGGATGTTTTCTCCATAGGGGATGCCCACTTTTTTGCAGTGTCAGTATACTCTGTTTTTTAAAGTTTGTTCGACCTAGTTTGGTAGTTGGAAGGAAATAACCAGTTGATGTAAGGAGGGATTATTGAGTATATCAGACCTCCAAGAGATGGTAAAGCGCCAAAGTTACTTGACAGAGCTATCGTAATATGCACTTGAGATAACATCGCTTCTTCAAAAACTGGTAGCGAATGCATATTACAAGGAAAAAATTTTGCCAATATATCTTAGTACAGAGGATATAGAAAATCTAGCACACTAAGACCAGACAGACAGTCAAGTTGATTGGAAGTTTCTCCATGATTTGCGCTTGACCAAAGACCAACAAAATAAAATAATACTTTGCGATCTGAGCTCCTGCAGCTTCAATAGCAAAGAGGGCGGTTGCAAGTTTATCCTCTCAGCCAAGTATTGCGGTATGATGAATGGTCACGAAGAGAAGCATCATGGGGCTTGTATTCCATGACATAGCTACTGGGAAGCTTCAAATGTCTTTTGATTGAATCTCTGAGTGCCATCACAGCCTGGCAAAGCAAAGAGGAGTTAAGCATGTTTACATCTTCACATGAAAAGAATGAATTACGTACAGGTTAGGTATATAACCTGATGATCTGATGCATTGCGGTTCCACACACTCAATATATCCTCATTGAAACGAATACTTAAAACTGCACCACATATATTGTCACCGTAATCAAGCTGATCACCCACCAGGGACAGCACCTAGGTAAGAAAGAGCCACATCACATTTAGAAGTTAAAGCAGAATTCAAGCCGCACTACAGTCTGAGGATGTACTAGTTAACTGTGCAGGCGGTCACCGATCTTTCAATGTTTTTGCGATCTTGCTATACCTATACAGCTACTAATAGTTGCTGCTATTACATTCACATCATCTAACTAATGGTTATTTAGCCATTTTACTTCTTTTAGCTGACAAAGGAAGAAGTAACAAATTCATCCAACAAGAATATACACTTAAAATAAGACACTTTTCTCCATAATAAAGAATTATTCAGACGGTGTAAATTCACCAAAAATTACCTAAGGTGATGGCTAATAAAATATGAATGATACTCCTTATCGAAAGTAAAAAAATGAATGACACAGTGACTTCAGCAAAGTCACCAACGACTGGTTAAATATCCAAAAGTAACAATCTTAATACAACCTCCGACGCCAACTTAAGTAAATTCACAATAGCGAGTATAAGAAGTCCAAGCAAATATATGAACTCTATGCAAAGGACATCTTATACATGACTAAAACATTTTGGGCAGTATACTGGGATGTTGAAAGAAATATGAAGCCAGAAAGTAAAAGATAATAAGATGAGAAACACAGGTCTATGAATTACTGTACAAAATGAACTTTCAGTGCTTATACTCTCTGGGCTAGATAGCAAAATCCCATAGGGGTATCTCAGCATCCTTAGGGGTCGTGTGGTTCGCGGAAAAAGTTATCCGGGATTAATAATTCCTGGATTATTTATTGCCATTGCTTTGTTTTGTTCATTGGATTAAAAATGGGATATACTATGTATAATCCAAGACACGTGCTTGGTTTGAAGCTGGATAAATTTCTTGTTTCCAATTTTAACGTGAACCGACATATGGGTAAATAATAATTATTGTTGGTATTTTTATAATAAAAATCAATATTTACTTATCACAGAAGTATCCTAAAATAGATAAATATAATTTGTAAATTCATGGTCTTGAGATAGCAAATGCAGCAAAAATTTCAAAGTCATCCTCTAGATAAATGGTCATCCTTTTCTAATTATAAATAACGTATCAAATTTAGGTAATAGCAAAGTAAGTTTGATCAAATTTAATCTATATCTCAAGACCATTAATGAATTATCAGGAATTCAACTTCTACATGCTAATGGCTCAAAGAAAATGAATAAAGAGACCAATTTATTTTTCTCATATTCTATGTTGATGCAGCGAGAGCAAAGGAGAAGTTGATTCACCTCTTTCAAGCTTTATTTTCTGTCTCTCTTAGAACTGAAGAAGCTTGGCGAAAATCTTGTTCAGCATAAGAGCAGCCGAAGAATCAGAGCGCTTTGAAATAAAAAAGGGCTTCAGGGGTCAATTGGTTTTGTGGCTCTTTACAGACTTGTTTTTAGTTTTATAACTCTACCTCTTTTTTTTAACACATGGGAGATTTACTTTTATAAGTAAGCGATTTGTCTTTAAAAAAGGGCTTCAGGGGTCAATTGCTTTTGTGATTTTTTACAGACTTGTTTTTAGTTTTATAACTCTACTTTTTTTCTAACACATGCGAGATTTACTTTTACACGTAAGCGATTTGTCTTTTACATATAAGAGATCTAAAAGGGTCATTTTCTTAAAATATAAATTGTAAAGAGGCATGATGTACAAATAGCACTAAATTTAATTCCAAAGTCTAAACCAGGATATCACACCTTATCCCATGAACCAAATGACCCCTTAGACTAAAAGGCACCGGTCTATTTTGGTATTCGATTTGGAAATCTGGAAAGTACTACTACTAACATCATGGACACCGTATAATTTAATTAAAAGATATCATACTGCTTCTGCGCTTAATATCTTTATCTATAACACTAGGAGTCTAGTTAAATGGAATTAACATTGAGGGTGTGTTTGGTATGGTGTGTTTCTACAAACCATTTTCCTGAAAATTGTTTTCCG